CCTGCTGAAAGGAGACCATCCAGACAAGAAAATGGGAAAGAGGGGAAAGAAATTAAGGACTATGATAATTTGATGGCTGAAATAAGGAAAGAGTTTAAACATAACGAACAATATATGAGAAAAAATTACTGGAAGTACAAGATTCATTGAATAAGAGATTAGAAGGGGTGGTGGGAGAGTTAACAGGAAAAGTAAAAGATTTATCTCTAAGATCCAAAGTACTTGAAGACTCAATGAAAAGGGTTCAAAAAGATACTAAAGAAAATAAGAAAGATATGGATAGGATTAAGACAGAGGTGAAGGAGATAAACAAAATACAGGAAGAGTTACTGGATAGTGTGGCGATGACTCAAATGAGACAGAAACAATCAAACCTGAAATTTAGGGGGATCCCTGAGGAACCTAATGAAAACATACGATCTAAACTGGTTAGAGAATTGGCAGTTTGGTTAGATATGAAGGAAGAGGACATAGGATACTCAGTTGCAAATATTTTTCGGATAAAAACAAAATCAGCCAAAGCCAGAGGGAAGAAACTGCCAGGAGATGTCCTGGTCATGTTTAACTCTCTGGATATGAGAAATGAAATACTAAAGTTAAACTATAATCAAAAATTATGTATTGAGGGAAAGCCAATTATTATATTTAAAGAGATTCCTTCGAGATTTCTTCGTAAGAGAGATGTTTATAAAAAACTAACTAACCAATTGAAGAAGATAGGGATCCAATATAGATGGGAGTTCCCGGAAGGGATTTCATTCTATTTCAAGGAAAAAAGATTCAAACTATCCAGCTCTCTGGAATTGGATAAATTTGCAAGAAGATATGAGAAGGAACTGGGAAGGTTGGGAGGGGGGGATCCAGAAGGGGCGCAGATGGGGGAAGAGAGGGGTGGAGGTGAAGAAAGTGGAGAGGGAGAAGAGGAGGAAAACCTAGACGAAGAAAAAGAAGAGGAAGAGACAGATAACAAGGAACAGTAGACCTAACCTAGATTTGACCACTTACTGATTGTACATTAAAAATGACCTTAAAAATAACCTCGTGGAATGTGAACGGGCTCAATAATAAAAATAAAAGAAACCAAATTGCTCATGTATTGCTTAAAAAGAACCTTGACATAATCTGTCTGCAAGAAACCCATGTAACAAAAAACATAAAAGAATTTTAAGTAATAAGAGATTGGGGTTGGACTTTGTAGCATCGGATAATGTCAAGAAAAGAGGAGTGGTACTATATATAAAAGAAAAATTTGATCCAAAATTAATACATAAAGACGAAGAGGGGAGAACGATAGTAGTACAGATCACCCACCAAGGAGAAAAGATAATCGTGGTAGGGATATATGCACCCAATGACAAAAATCAGCATTTTATTCTGAACTAGGTAACAAATTGTTAGAATGGATGGACCAACAAATGATATTGATGGGGGACTTTAATGGAGTGGTTCTCCCAAATTTGGATAGATCAATAAGAAAACAGGAAATGAGGGAGGGCAAATTACCGAAAGCCTTCTTCGAATTAGTGGAAAATTTGGGATTAATTGACGCTTGGAGATTTAAAAACCCCACGATAAAACAATTCACTTTTTTTTCAAACCCAAATCAAAGCTGGGGAGAATAGATCATATTTGGGTCTCGAAGGAATTGACGCAAAGAGTAATTAAGACTGAAATCCTCCCACAAACTTTATCTGATCATAATCCAGTATATATGGAGGTAAAAGGAAAAGATTTCAGAACATTAAGATGGAGAATGAACGAAAACCTATTCAATGATCAAAAGATAGCAAATAAAGCAAAAGAGACAATTGAGGAATATTTTAAGTGGAATTTGAATAAAGAAACATCTCTAGAAACGGTGTGGGATGCCGGGAAGGCTGTCATGAGGGGTTTTCTTATTCAGAAAAATAGCATCTCAAAAAGATAAAAGAGAAAAGGAAAGAAGAAATCTTACTACACCTTATGGAGAATGAAAGACAATTAACCATCAAACCAGGAGATGAAATATTAAAACAAAACATAAGGATGCTACAAGCTCAATTTTCTATGATAGTGAACCAGGAGATTGAATGGAGGATCAAAATGATGAAACAAAAGAACTTTGAATCAGCAAATAAGATAGGAAAATACCTGGCGTGGCAATTGAGAGAGAGGAAAAACAAAACATGATATGTAAGATAAGGGATGGAGAAAGGATAGTGGAGGACCCAAAAGAGATAAAGAAGATATTTCAGAAATACTATAAGGAACTATATAAAAGAGAAAGAGAGATAGATAATGAGATAGAAAATTACTTGAAAAATACCAATTGCAACAGATCACGACTGAAGAAAGAGAATATCTAAACCAGACAATTACAGAGGAAGAAATTAGGAAAGCAATAAAAAAAATGAGAATAGGAAAAGCGCCGGGGCCAGATGGTATCTCGGCTAAATATTATAAAATATTAAGTGACCAAATTTCCCCAGTGCTATGTGAAGTCATGAACAATGTATTAAAAGAAGGGAGAATTCCAAACACCTGGAAAGAAGCGTATATTACCTTAATCCCTAAAAAAGACACAGATGGTTTAGAGGTAAAAAATTATAGACCTATTTCGTTACTAAATAACGACTATAAATTATTCGCAGACGTACTGGCAGAAAGGTTAAAAAAAGTCTTAAATAAAAGAATCCATAAAGACCAAACGGGTTTCCTCCCGGGGAGACAACTGAAAGACAACATAAGAAATGTGATTGACATCATTGAGTATTTGGATACTAGAATAGACAAACAGGCGGCGCTGATCTTCATTGACGCCGAGAAGGCATTTGACAACGTCTCCTGGCGTTTCATGAAGGAAAATTTAAAAATGATGGGAATTGGTGAAGGATTTAGAAAAGGTATTGACGCAATTTATCAAGAGCAAAATGCCAAACTTATAATAAATAACAATATATCGGAGGCCTTTGATATTGCCAAAGGGACTAGGCAAGGTTGTCCTTTATCCCCTTTGTTATTTATAACAGTGTTGGAAGTGTTTAATAAAAGGTTAAGGGAAACACCGGAAGTTAAAGGAATTAAGGTAGGAAGTAAGGAATTCAAAATAAAAGCATTTGCAGATGACTTGATATTAACATTGGAAGATCCTAAGAACAGTCTACAAGCAGCCTTACAGAAATTAGAAGAATTTGGAAAAGTGGCAGGTTTTAAGCTTAACAGGAATAAGACCAAAATGATAACAAAAATATAACCAAGGAAGAGATAGCAGAGCTAGAACAAAGGACAGGAATTACGGTTGTTAAGAAGGTAAAATATTTAGGAGTGTGGATCACAGCAAAAATATAAACTTATATAAAGATAATTATGAGGCTACTTGGAAGGGTGTCAAGAAAGACTTAGAAATCTGGGAGAGATTGAAACTTTCTTTCTTAGGGAGGATCTCGGTTATTAAAATGAATGTCCTGCCCAGAATGTTATTTTTGTTCCAAACTATACCAGTAATGAAAGGACTAAAACAGTGTAAAGATTGGCAAAGGATCTTAGCGAGATTTATCTGGCAGGGGAAAAGACCACGAATAAAAATGAAAATATTGGTAGACAAAAAAGAAAGAGGGGGTTTTTCTTTACCAGATTTGAGTCTATACTATGAAGCGGCTTGTTTAATGTGGGTGAAAGACTGGATAAAGTTAGAGAATACTGATATCTTGGATTTAGAGGGCTTTGATAACAGGTACTGGTGGCACTCGTACCTGTGGTACGAAAAGGTGAAAGTTCATAGAGGCTTTCTAAATCATATAATCAGAGGATCATTATTTCAAGTATGGGAAAGAAATAAGAACTTGCTGGAAAAGAAAACTCCATGGTGGATCTCACCAATTGATGTCTTAACTGTTAAAACTAATATGGAAGGGAAAAGAGCCACCTATGAAGAACTTATCAATAAAACTGATCAGGGCATAAAACTCAAGCCCTATGAGGAGGTAAAGAATGTACTTACGGGATGGTTGCAATACCATCAAGTGAATGATCTGTTAAAAGATGATAAAAAGAAACTGGGATTTGAAGATAAAAATCTAAATTTAATGTAGAAATTATTGAAGGCAAAAACAAAACATTATCTAGGATGTATGACCTTTTACTGGATTGGTATACAAAAGATGAAGAGGTGAAGGAGGCTATGATAAAATGGGCCATAGACATTGGTTACAACATTGACTTTGTAAAGTGGCAGGAATTGTGGAATGTAAATATGAAATTCACGGCGTGTACGGCATTAAGGGAGAATCTCTGGAAGATGATTCATAGGTGGTATCTCACACCAGTGAAATTGGCTAAGATTTACAAACTGAAGAATAAGAAGTGCTGGAAATGTGGAGAGGAAGATGGTGAGTTCTACCACATGTGGTGGACATGCAGGAAAGTAAAAGGCTTTTGGGAACTGATCTACAATGAGCTTAAAAGGATTTTTAAATATACTTTTCCCAAAAAGCCTGAAGCTTTCCTGCTAGGAATAGTTGGCAAGGAAATTAAAAGAGGATAAAAATCTGTTTCTATATGCCACAACGGCCGCTAGAAATATGTTGGCCCAAAGCTGGAAAACAGAATTAATACCTACTATAGACGACTGGCAGAACAAGATGATAAATTATGTTGAACTAGCTAGAATAACAGGAAGACTAAGAGACCAGGATGACCAGAAGTTTCATGAAAATTGGAATAAATATCTCACGTATATAAGAGATAAGTATAGAACTTTGAGGACTCTGGCAGGGTTAGAATAACTCTAACAGTGTCTGGCAAATATGTAAAGGAGATAAAACATGTAACTTTAGAAATTATCTGATACTTATCAATAAAGTGAAGGGAAGTCCGAGGCTCGGCGGAGCCCATAAATAATTGTGTACTATATATATGATTTTTGTAACAGCTATGTTATATGCAACTTATGTAATCTAGACTGTATATATGTATAATCAATGAAAATTTAAAAAAATGTATTAAAAAAAAAAAAGATAGTGGTTCAGAAGATGTCGCTGGTGCAAAATGCTGCAGAGAGAATTCCAGGTGACACAGTGAGTTGAAGCCACATCACACCAATTCTCTGTGTTCTGTACTGGGTGCCAAAATGCTTCTGGGCTCATTGTAACTTTTTAGCACCCCTCATTTTTGGAATTCGACCGTTGAAAAATGCAACACACCTTATTGCTATATGTATCTGTAATTTTATTTGTTTTATTGTTTTAGTATTGTAAACGGCTCCGTGATTTTCATATGAAGGGTGGTATACAAATGAACTGAATAATATTATTTCACCCTTCTTCCAAAGTCTGAGATGTCATACATGGATTTCCTCCCCTTGACCTGGATTTTACACTTACAAACAACAGTGTTAAGTTATTTTGACATAATGGCTTGCCTAAGAACACTCAGTGAGCTTACCAGATAATTGAATCTGGATCTTGGATCAGCGTCCCAGCAGGCTATCCATTACATTACCCTGCCATTGTGGCATCTGCCAGTCCTAGAACATCACCAGGGGGACAGGAGAGGAAAGGCGGCAGTGCTTTGTGTCTAGCAGGGTGGAGAAGGGGAGCAGTGCAACATGGTGAGCTGGTAGTGGGTGACCTCATTATACCCTTTGTATAATATAACGCACTAGTGTACACTGTTTCAGATAGGAACTCTTCTGTAATTTTCTTTCTTTAGAGATAGAATCACCCACTCTATTTATAGCTTGGCTGTTTAGTACCAGAAATGTTATCTGCTCTTTCCAACATATTAGGTGTACTCTGTCTGGTGGTGTCTTAACCTGAAACTGTTCTTAACCTGAGGTACCACTTTAGCTAATGGGGCTGCCGCGCCACCACCGCGCAATTTCTGTTCTCATCCTGAAGCAAAGTTCTTAACCCGAGGTACTATTACTGGGTTAGCGGAGTCTGTAACCTGAAGTGTATGTAACCCGAGGTACCACTGTATTAGTAAGTACAGGAATCACAGGGAAACAGACTGTGCAGAGTATTTTTTTTTTACCCCACCTCCAATCCAATCACTTTATGCTACAGAAAAATTACTCCAGTGTTTCTCAAACTTGGGTCTCAAGCTGTTCTTGGATTACAGTTTCCATCAGCCCTGACCACTGGTCCTGCTAGCTAGGGATGATGGCAGTTGTAGTCCAACAACAGCTGGTGACCCAAGTTTGAGAGAAACTACTCTAGATGTTAAGGGATGCGGGTGGTGTGTGGGTTAAACCACAGAGCCTAGGACTTGCCGATCAGAAGGTCGGAGGTTCGAATCCCCGTGACGGGGTGAGTTCCCATTGCTCGGTCCCAGCTCCTGCCAACCTAGCAGTTCAAAAGCATGTCAAAGTGCAAGTAGATAAATAGGTACCGCTCCAGCGGGAAGGTAAACGGCTTTTCCATGCGCTGCTCTGGTTCGCCAGAAGCGGCTTAGTCATGCTGGCCACATGACCCAGAAGCTGTACGCCGGCTCCCTCGGCCAGTAAAGCGAGATGAGTGCCACAACCCCAGAGTCGGCCACGACTGGACCCTTTACCTTTACCTTATTCTAGATGTTTAGGCAGCAGACAGAAAGCGTGAACTATAATTTTGACTAGAAATAATTATCACATCGCTTTTGAAAGGGCAACCTGTGATTTCCAAACATATGCGATGGTAATGACTGTGTGAGAGGGTAACATTCTGGAACTAAGTGAACACTGGCAGCATGTTTCTGATGGTAGCGAAACTGAAGAGGATTGAACTACTGAAACTCTTGTTGTTTTGTGTACATATGTCGTGATTCTCAGAACTGCCAGACTCATGGGTGACTTAAATTGGATTGGATGCAGACCAGATTGGTTGAACTTGGTTCAAACTGAAATCAATGGGACAAGCTACTATTGATTTCAAGTCCCATTGATTTCGGTTTGAGTTAAGTTCAGCTAACTTACCTTGAATCCAGCCCATAGCATCTTAATAGTGTATATTACACTCTTTAATGTATCTGTTTGGGCAGTGCAGGATTGACTCATTGTTTTACAAGAATGAATTGAAATGTTAGCAAGTTCACATTCATTAGAGTTTGTGTCTCCTTTGAGTTTATAGATCACGTAAGAAATTCTGCAGATACTACATTCTTCTAAAATGTAGTAGGCTTTGTTTCAGATTCTCACTATCTTGCTACCTCCTAGTAAAATTGGTTTGGGTGCCAGATTGCAGTGTCTGTCACAATATCATGGTAAAGTAAGAGGAAGGATTATGTGCATATGCACAAGATTGTGGACTTCGTTGCAGCTGCTGAAAGAGGCTTGTCTTTTTTTCGTGGTTTATCTAGTAAAAATATTTGTTCAAAATGTTCCTGCCTTGTAATAGAGATATTTTGCTTCCATCTGACTGGGACACTCACCAGTCTCCTGAACATTTGCATGTAGTGGAGGCAATGGGTGCAGGATCCCCCCAATCACACATATGCCCTTGGGTGATATACTATTGACTCCCAATTATTATCCCCACTCCTTTGAGGGAGAAATAGCCCTACCCCAGCAACACATCTTAGACAGGGATGTTGATTACAGTGACTGTTTCCTTGAACCAGAAGTTGTCTTTAACTTTTTTTGAAACCCTTAATGTCTCTCTTATATTTCTTGATGTCTCTCTTATATTTCTCTTGCCCTGTGAATTAAGATGACACAGTTATGTTCTTTAGCAGACTGTCGTCTGAGAGAAAATGTTCCACCTGAAATAAGGCCTCTTTGAGGGTGGAGCTTTCATTGTGAAATCTTCCTATCGTAGCACCATGGTGGATTTCATATATATATGCTGGTGTAAATTTTTTAATGATGTTTAATTGTTGTCTCCTTGACAATAAACCTGAAAAACTACTAGTTTCAAAAATATAAGCCTTTTTACAGTACTAGCCTTGTGGGGGCCAGCAGCAAGGGGTGGAGAGCTCAGACAGGTTCCTTTCTAGCCAATTTCATTGAAGCTTGTGAGTTCTTCGTTTTCTTTGACATCTTCAGTGGTGGTTGACGGGGCAGTGATTTCAATGTAACTTCATTATATACATTCAGATCTGCTTTCCTCTTCCTGGTTCATTGGATTCTGGGTCTTTGGTATTGGGTGTGTGGGTGTGGGTGTGTTTGTGTTTGTGTTTGTGTTTACAGGTTCATACTGTGTGGGACACAGGCTGGAAATAGCAGTACAGTGGTACCTCGGGTTAAGTACTTAATTCCGGAGGTCTGTTCTTAACCTGAAACTGTTCTTAACCTAGAATCATAGAATCATAGAATCATAGAGCTGGAAGAGACCACAAGGGCCATCGAGTCCAACCCCCTGCCAAGCAGGAAACACCATCAGAGCACTCCTGACATATGGTTGTCAAGCCTCTGCTTAAAGACCTCCAAAGAAGGAGACTCCACCACACTCCTTGGCAGCAAATTCCACTGTCAAACAGCTCTTACTGTCAGGAAGTTCTTCCTAATGTTTAGGTGGAATCTTCTTTCTTGTAGTTTGGATCCATTGCTCCGTGTCCGCTTCTCTGGAGCAGCAGAAAACAACCTTTCTCCCTCCTCTATGTGACATCCTTTTATATATTTGAACATGGCTATCATATCACCCCTTAACCTCCTCTTCTCCAGGCTAAACATGCCCAGCTCCCTTAGCCGTTCCTCATAAGGCATCGTTTCCAGGCCTTGGACCATTTTGGTTGCCCTCCTCTGGACACGTTCCAGTTTGTCAGTGTCCTTCTTGAACTGTGGTGCCCAGAACTGGACACAGTACTCCAGGTGAGGTCTGACCAGAGCAGAATACAGTGGCACTATTACTTCCCTTGATCTAGATGCTATACTCCTATTGATGCAGCCCAGAATTGCATTGGCTTTTTAGCTGCCGCGTCACACTGTTGGCTCATGTCAAGTTTGTGGTCAACCAAGACTCCTAGATCCTTTTCACATGTACTGCTCTCAAGCCAGGTGTCCCCCATCTTGTATTTGTGCCTCTCATTTTTTTTGCCCAAGTGCAATACTTTACATTTCTCCCTGTTAAAATTCATCTTGTTTGTTTTGGCCCAGTTCTCTAATCTGTCAAGGTCACCACTGTCAAGCACCACTTTAGCTAATGAGGCCTCGCACGGCTGCTGCGTGATTTCTGTTCTCACCCTGAAGCAAAGTTCTTAACCCGAGGTACTATTTCTGGGTTAGCGGAGTCTGTAACCTGAAGTGTCTGTAACCCGAGGTACCACTGTATCAATCTGCTGTACCAAAAGGAGATTCCTGAGTGACTTAGTGGAACATCCCACAGTACTAAAGCAGCCCATGCAGAGTTAATACTGTAAGGGACTCTGTGTTCCTCATCATGAGTTTCTATTTTTTGGTGAGGGGAAATGAATTTTCTTCTGCAGAGTAATGATTATTTTATGCACTCTGTTTCAGTACATGTTACTATGGCAATGACTGCAGGGACTCCAACTTCCTTTCCCATGAGCAACCACACCCGGGAGAGAGTGACAGTGGCCAAGCTCACGCTGGAGAACTTTTATAGTAACCTAATTTTACAGCATGAAGAAAGAGAAACCAGGTACTGGGTGTTAGATTTCTTCTACACTTGAGTTTTCTATGTGTGGTAGATGTTTGGGGGGGGGTCTGTTATTCCACCTCAAAACATGTACACAACTCTGGCTAGCAAATAACTTTTAACTGACCACCTATTTTCTTGGTATGAATAGCTAAAAAGGTTTTGGCAGCTTTCCCTTGTGCCATTTCAGCTGCTGTTCTGCAAAAAAGCCTCTGTTTACATTACAGGCTTCCTCAACCTCGGCCCTCCAGATATTTTTGGCCTACAACTCCCATGATCCCTAGCTAGGTCAGGGATGATGGGAATTGTAGTCTCAAAGCATCTGGAGGGCCGAGGTTCAGGAAGCCTGGTTTACAATGTTGATATTTGTGTATCAATGTCCTTGTTAATTAACCCCTTGGAAAAGCAGAGGTCTCAAAAGAAGCTCTGCTTTTTATCTAGTTGTTCAGCAAAATGTACCTTTTTATTTTTAGTTGGATATTGTTTTCCTACACCAAGTCAGTGAAGAAACATGTTTTGCGATACTTTGCAAGAAAGAGGAGAAGGTGGAGACATGTAAGATGAGAGAAGATTGTTCTTATGTGGTCTTGTGTCCTTCTATTCTCTTGTGTCGGGATTAGCAACCAGGAGGCTGGACAGTCACTTCAGGGGTTTTGCTCCTCTCCTCACCTGCCAGGGAAACACAAAAGGGACCCAAGCAGGCAAATGAGTGTGTGAGTGGTCCTCTGGATCTATGTATGTCACCCAGACTTCCCCAACCTGTTGTCCTCCAGATGGTGTTGGACCCAAGCTCCCATCAGTTGCAGCCAGCTTGGTGAATGGTCAGAGAGGGTGGTAGTTGTAGTCCAACATCTGCTGGGTGCCAAGTTGGGGAAAGATGAGGAAGGGCATTGGGTGAACAGTGGCAGCTTAAAATAAACTTGTATTCTGTACTCGACATTTCTGTGTTCCAGTTCTTCCTGCTGATATGATTTGAGGAGTGAAGTCACTCTAGTAGAGTAAAATACAGGCTGTTCATTTTATAATATATACACGCACCCTTTTTTTCTACCAACTTAGGCAGAAGAAACTAGAAGTGGCCATGGAGGAGGAAGGTTTAGCAGATGAAGAGGTAATGTGAATGTAATTTAAGTTGGAAGCTTTTACAGTTTACTGTTCAGAATTGGTGCTTAATGATTCACGGGTCTTCACTTGAGCTGTCTGTCTTGGAATCACGTTGCCTAGAAAGCAAGAGTAAGACGAAGAGAACACAGGTAGGAGGGAATAACTGCACCTTCTTTGTCACTGTGGGAAAGTAGGATTGCTAGATTTGGAACAGGATAGAGTTATTCTGTAGAAGGAGCTGCCTTTTCCTTAAGGAGGAAGATAATCCCATATAATTGAACCAGTATTGATATTTTAATGGTTTCAAACACTTGTGGTCTCTTTTAGCATGGCAGATTCAGCAAGACTGCCTTTCATTGGCAAAGATTTTCAAACAGTTTTTATTGGTTGGTTTGTTGTAATTGATTTTAGTGTTTATACTGTGCTGCAAGTCACTGTGGTTCACTTTTATAAAGTAGAACTAATGAATCATCATGCTCTAGCAATCCATTCCTTATAGCACCACGAGAGTGGGGATGATTCTGCAATAGTTTTTGCCATTATATTGACCATGCAATTTTTTCATAACATAACACACATTGGCGCTGGCTTGCGCCGACGATTGAGAGGGCCAATATCACACAATGATGTGACACCCCACATGCGATGTTGTGTGACGATGTGATGTCACCACTGGATATTGAGGGGGCTTAGCATCCTCCTTTAAAACTTTTTTTGGGGGGGGGCAGGAGCCAGTGCCCCTGATAGCATGCTACAAGAGATGACTGGGAAAGTTGGGAAATCTCACGTTGACAGAAATGGGTATACAGTGCCATCTTGTGGCTGTAAATGATACAAGATAAAAAACATTGAGTTTTTAAGAGGCACCCTATCATAGTAGAATCAGAGAAATGTAGCATTGTAAGGGAACACAAGGGTCATCTAGTCCAACCCTCTGCAGTGAAGGAATCTTTTGCCCAATGTGGAGCTTGAATCCATGGCCCTGAGATTAAGAGTACCATTCTCTACCAACTGATGTTTGTCTGTTTGCTCATGAAAACTATTATTTGGCACCTTTTCTAATATTCGGCAGCATGCTGAATTTTGCATATCACTTATTAACCAATTTTCTGTTGAAGATGGGGCTCAAAGTAGTGGCCGTGAGTGGACCTATAGAGTTGCGTTACACAAAAGCAGACCATTGGTCTATCTACCTCAGTACTCTCAGTAGCAGCAGGCTCTCCAAGGTCCAAGTCCTAGCTAAGATACCACTGCCTATTTAACTATTTTGACCAGGAGTGACATGTCTTTTTGGAGTAGGTCATTGGAGGAAAACGAGCCATAAGCCTGGGTTTGCACAACAAGCCATTGTGACCGAAACAGCACAGAGGTGGTGTGAGATTATGCACTAGCCTGCTGCATAATCACATTAAATCATAGTTTGTTTTAAAATATTGCATTTTGTTTATGTTTGAATATTAAATGTGCAAAAAAATATTAATTTCACATATATGCCCATGGCAGTGACTGATGAAGAACAAGACCTTGGGCTTGTAGAGGATGCTCTATGAAGATGCTGGCCAGCGTGCAGCAGCTGTTGAAACGGCAAATGCTAGGAGTCCTAAGGAAAGGAATCAGAAACAAAACTGCCAGTACCAGAATGGCATCATACAAATTGATCATGTGATCACACCTGGAATATTGTGAATAGTTCTGGTCACTTCGCCCCACAAAGGGTATTGTAGAGTTTGAAAAAGGTTCAGGAAAGGGCATCCAAAATTATCAGGGAGATGGAGGAACTCCCCTGTGAGGAAAGGAGACAGCATGCACCCTCGCCGGGTGGGGGGAGTGCAGAGGGCGAACGGAGCCCACTGCGCCAGGCCAGCCCTTGCCGCCGAAGCACCACCAATGCAGGGCTGGCTCGGGGGTGGCAGTGTGAGGAGCAGCCCTCCCCCGTGTGCCCAGGGCAATCGCCCCGGAAGCTCCCCCTCCCCCACGCTACGTCCCTGCAGCAGACACGGGTTGTTGTTTTCTGTTTCGTGAAAAGGTGAGTTAAAAGTGCATAAAACTATGCGTGGCCTGGAGAAAGTGGATAGAGAAAAGTTTTTCTCCCTTTCTTCCACTGTACAGTAGAACCTCTACTTACGACCGCCTCTACCTGGGCCTGATCCAAGGTGCGACTGTGGCAAACCCGGAAGTAAATACCGGGTTTGCCGTGGTTTGTGCATGCACAGAAGTGGCTTCTGCTGTTTGTGCACACGCAAAAGTGGCAGCCGCCACCTGCACATGCACAATGGTGCTTCTACCAGTGACCCAGATCGACTTACAGGCGGACCTCCCAAACTGATTACGTCCATAAGTAGAGGCTCCACTGTATTGCTAGAACTCATGAGTATCCAGTGAAACCGAATGTTGTAAGACTCAGGACAGACGAAAGAAACACATGGTTAAAACTGTGGAATTTGTGATGACCACCAACCTGGATGGCTATAAATTCATGGAGGAAAAGGCTATGAGTGGCTGCCAGCCATGGTGACTGTAGTCTGCTTCCAAGGTCAGAGGCAGGGAGAATGCTGTTGCTTGCGTGGCTTCTTTGCAGGCTTCCCATGGGCGCCTGGTTGGCCACTGTGGAAACAGGACAATGGACTAGATGGGCCCCTAGCCTGACCCAGCACGGCTATTCTTGTGTTCTTATTTTATGACACTTTAACCCAGGGGTCTGCAACCTGCGGCTCCGGAGCAGCATGTGGCTTTTTTACACCTTTGCCGCGGCTCCGGGGCGGATACTAGCGAGGGGAGGAGGCGCATTGTGCGCCCCGACACTCCCCACTGTGGCGGGCGCTGTACTGGCTGTGACGTCGCATGGGGGCGGTGCGTGCGTTAGTCACGCACCGTCCCGACGTCACCTTCCCGCCCACCCGCCCGCTACATTGTAAGGGGCATGTACGCTGGTCACTGCATTGAAAGGGGGCATGTACGCTGGTCACTGTTTTGAAGGGGAGTGAAGAACACACACACAAAAAAAGGTAACTTGTTAATTTAACATTTATTTCTATGAGGAGGAGTCATTCTGAGGGGTAAAACAAAGAAATAATAAAAAAAAGTGACAAAAAAGTTATTTTTATAATGATGAGTTTTGCAGCTGCCAGTTTTTTTCCTTCGGAAACGGGTCCAAGTGGCTCTTTTTGTCTTAAAGGTTGCAGACTCCTGCTTTAACCACACCAATGGGACTCACTGAGTCCTTCCTCCCTATGGGAGGCTATATGGGAGGGAATTATATCCCATACTTGGTGATAGTAGCATTATAAACTGATTACCTGTTTATACCATTTTTGTATGAGCTGTGGATTTTCTCATGCTTAATATATATTTCAGAAAAAGCTACGAAGATCTCAGCATGCCCGCAAAGAAACCGAATTTCTGCGGCTGAAGAGAACAAGGCTAGGCCTCGATGACTTTGAATCTTTGAAAGTTATTGGAAGAGGTGCTTTTGGAGAGGTTCGTAATTTGTGTATTTTCTTAGGAACTCTTTATTTCAGGATACCTTCCTGTCAGGATAACTTACTGAACAATAATCCTGTTTATGGTATGCGGGGGGGGGACGGACAGACGGACGGACGGACCTTATAATGAGCTCAGAATTCTTCATTTTTTGTACTGCTCTTCCTTCCCTGGCCGGCTCTTTGAGACTTTTTTTTTTAAAAAACTCTGATAAACATTCAATAAACAATCAGTAAACTTAGGTTTCTCTTCCCTCACTCCCAATTTTCTCAGTTCTCCTTAGAGACCTTCCTTCTAATCTTCATGGATTTTAGTAGCATTTGTTGCTCTTTGTAGCAGAGATTAGGTGTTCATATAGATTGCCTGTTACGCTCACCCTTCTTCCAGTTTTGGAATTGCTATTCAACCAGTTTGCTGCATTTACCCCAGTATTGCAAATTTGTTAGCTTAACAGTATGCTTTAATAATGGCTTAAAAAAATTAATCCACAGGTCCGCCTTGTTCAAAAGAAAGATACGGGTCATATTTATGCAATGAAGATACTAAGAAAAGCTGACATGCTAGAGAAAGAGCAGGTATGTCTTTTTAGTATATTGCAAGCACTTCAAAACCAATAGTGATGATATGCATTGTTGTGTGCAATATATATTTGTAGTATTGCTGAAAAAGGCCAGCTGAAAAAGGACCATACCTATTCCTGCAGCACATTTGTTGCAGGTAGGATGCATTGCTTTTCACTATTAGTGGAACTGATAAGTTACTGAAAGATTAGTTTACCTGTTTATAGAGAAGTTGGGCAAGATAGAAGGATGAGTTGGCTGAGACTGAGATTTTTGAGATCTTCTTTGTGGTGTGGGAAGGTGGAAGACAGATAAGGCTGCCTTTAAAACAAAACCCTGGGAATTGTGGCTATATATCCATGCCGTACTACTCTCTTTGGAGTCTTTGGAAAAGTGTGTGCTGCAAATCTAAAACAAATCTATATTTATAAACTTCTTGGGAATAGTGTGATGTGATTCCTTAGTCAATTTGTGTGCAAATATTACATGTATTTGCACTAAATCCTGGACTGGAAGGAATTGTGGCACTATGCAACAGCTGTGTGAAGCTGTCTTGTCACAGATTCAGCATTGCGGATCCATACTTGTACAACTTATCTCTCAAAAAATCTGAAAAGTGTAGCTTGTTACCCAGGTGTGTTGGTGCATCTTGGCTGGCACCCCTGGAAGTAAAGGCTGGCATTGGCCATTTAGGTAAGGTAAAGGACCCCTGGACGGTTACGTCCAGTCAAAGGCGACTATGGGGTGCGGTGCTCAACTCGCTTTCAGGCCGAGGGATCTGGCATTTGACCATAGACAGCTTTCTGGGTCACATGACCAGCATGACTAAAATTCTTCTGGCCATATAACAAAACACAAAAGAGGCCAGTCCCTTTGAACACTTGATCGGGCGTTGCATTTTAAGATAGAATTAAATACAGTGGTACCTGGGTTTACAACCATAATCCGTTCCGGAGGTCCGTTTGTAAACCCAAACAGGTTGTAACCCAAGGCACGCTTTCGCCAATGGGGCCTCCCAAAAAAATGTGTTCGTAATCCAAACAAAATGGGTTGTAATCCAAAAAAAAGGTTGAAAACCGGGACACGCGCTTCCAGGTTTGACATGTTTGTAATCCAAGACGTATGCAAACCAAGACGTATGCAAACCAAGGTACCACTGTATCTTGGGACCATCGGCTGTGGTGAGGACTGCAGGGCCTTCTCCCTTCCAGGGCCTTTTCCAGCTGGCCCAGGCGGCGTGGCCCAGGCCCTTACTTGGAACAAACTTTTGGGGAAGTGTGGGAAGTTGTTCTGCCATTGCTTCCTGGTTCCAAGTGGTTAATGTGTTTAAAATGTCCTCAAGCAGTCGGTGGCATTTTAAATTTTTATTTCTCTTTTTCCTTTTTTGCTTTGTTGGGGATGGGTGGGTGGGATGGATATTTAGTTGGGAATTAATTTTAGTATAATTGTTCTGTTTTTGTTTTTATTGTTTTATTGGTTCTGTATAGATTGTGCTTTGTTTTTAAGGGGCGGAATCAGGGCTGCCTGGGAGTGGGGCCCCAGCCGACACGATGGCTGGGACAAGTTCCACAGGGGGGGAAGCACTGGGACATCCGATCTCGGTGATCATGGGCAGGAGGAGGAGTTACGCTAAGACCAGACGATGTCATTACCGAGGAGGCAGATTTCGTCGTTGTTTGAAGACTATCCCTGCCTCCGGGTCTGGCCTTTACCAGATGGATACTGGAATCAACAGGGGAAACCCACATGACCTGAAGGTGAAGGTGTTGCTGTGTAATGCCAGGTCAATGATGAATAAAACCACTGCCATCCACGACCTGATTGTGGATGGAGGATTTGACCCGGCATGTGTGACAGAGACCTGGTTGGAGGAAGCAGATGGGTCTGTCCTTGCCGCTGCTTGCCCACCAAGTTTCTCTTGCGCACAGCAACCCAGGTCATGTGGGCGGGGAGGGGGGGTTGCAGTGATTTTTAGGAAGTCATTAGCTTGCATCAGGCATCCTACTGGGAAGACCCAGTTTTCTGAGTGCATGTTCTGGAAGTTGGGCAATAGGGGCAGTACAGGATTCCTTTTGGTGTACCGACCTCACCGCTGCACCAAGGATTCCCTGTCCGAGCTGCTTCAGGTCGTGGCAGATGTTCTCCTGGAGACACCTAGTTTGGTTGTCCTAGGGGATTTTAACATCCATGCCGACACAGCCTTACAAGGGACCGCTTGGGACTTCGTGGAAAGCATGGCCTCCATGGGGCTGTCCCTGAAAAAGTTTGGCCCAACTCATAGTCATGGATGTGTCTTAGACCTGGTGTTCACCTCTAGTGATGTCGGTGATCTGACACTAAGTAAAAGTGAAACAATAGAAGTGCCATGGTCAGATCACTTCCTGGTGCAACTGGACTTCTCTGCGACCCTTCCCTTCTGCAGGGAGGTGGGACCAATTTGGATGGTCCGCCCCCGCCACTTAATGGATCCAAATGGTTTCCAGAGAGTGGTAGGGGATGCTTTATCCCATGTTGATGGCCTTTCAGCTGATTCCCTGGTGGCCCACTGGAATGCGGAGTTAACCAGGGCTATCGACTGTCTAGCTCCGAAGCGCCCTCTCCGATTGCATGGAGCCCGGACAGCCCCGTGGTTTTCTTCGGAGCTGAGGGCGATGAAACAATCGCTGAGACGGCTAGAGCGTCGGTGGCAGAAAACTCACTCCGAATCTGACCGGACACAGGTTAGAGCTCAACGTCGAGCCTACCAAGTGGCGATAGCGACGGCAAAGAAGACTTTGTTCACCGCCTCTATTGCATCTGCAGAAAATAGTAGCAGGAGACTCTTTCAGGTGGTCCGCAATTTAACGGAACCACCTTTACCACCGGCGCCTTGTAAAGGCCCCAAGATCTCCTGCAACGATTTTGCAAAGTTTTTTGCAGATAAAATCACTCATATTCGGAAGGAGATAGACACCACCGTGGGAGCAGGGCTGGGACGGGAGAGTGCTAGAGCCCTGTCTGGTCAAGTTGCACGGAATCAATTTCAATCCATTACCCCTGAGGATGTGGACAGGCTGCTTGGACGCGTGAAACCAACCACCTGTCTCCTTGATCCTTGCCCATCCTGGCTAATAAAAGCAAGCCGGGAAGGGCTGGGCGATGGGCTCTGCAGGGTGGTGAATGCTTCCCTCTGTGAGGGAACATTTCCAGATCCACTGAAAGAGGCGGTCATTAAACCGCTTCTTAAAAAACCATCTTTAGACCCAGCCAGTATGGCCAACTATCGCCCAGTCTCAAATCTTCCATTCTTGGGCAAGGTGATTGAGCGAGTGGTTGCTGAACAACTCCAGGCACGCCTGGAGGATGCGGACCATTTGGATCCTTTCCAATTGGGATTCAGGCCTCATCATGGGACTGAAACTGCCTTGGTCGTGCTGGTTGATGATCTCCGGCGAGCTAGGGACAAAGGTGAGAGCTGTTTCCTAGTTCTGCTGGATCTCTCAGCGGCCTTTGATACAATCGACCATAACATCCTTCTGGACCGTCTAGTGGGGCTGGGAGCTGGGGGCACTGTTATACAGTGGTTTCGCTCCTTCCTCCTGGGCCGTGTTCAGAAAGTGGTGGGGGGGGATGAGTGTTCAGACCCCTTGGCCCTCACTTGTGGGATGCTTCAGGGTTCCGTCCTCTCCCCCATGCTTTTTAACATCTATATGAAGCTGCTGGGAGAGATCATCAGGGGGTTTGGGCTGGGTGTTCATCAGTATGCGGATGATACCTAGCTCTACCTCTCTTTTAAATTGGAACCAGCGAAGGTGGTGAAGGTCCTGTGTGAGTGCCTGGAGGCGGTTGTAGGATGGATGGCGGCTAATGGATTGAGGTTGAATCCTGACAAGACAGAAGTACTGTTTTTGGGGGACAGGGGGCGGGCTGGTGTGGAGGACACCCTGGTCCTGAATGGGGTAACTGTGCCCCTGAAGGACCAGGTGCGCAGCCTGGGAGTCATTTTGGACTCACAGCTGTCCATGGAGGCGCAGGTCAATTCTGTATCCAGGGCAGCTGTCTACCAACTCCACCTGGTACGCAGGCTGAGACCCTACCTGCCCACGGACTGTCTCGCCAGAGTGGTGCATGCTCTGGTTATCTCCCGCTTAGACTACTGCAATGCGCTCTACGTGGGGCTACCTTTGAAGGTGACCCGGAAACTACAACTAATCCAGAATGCGGCAGCTAGACTGGTGACTGGGGGCGGCCGCCGAGACCACATAACACCGGTCTTGAAAGACCTACATTGGCTCCCAGTACGTTTCCGAGCACAATTCAAAGTGATGGTGTTGACCTTTAAAGCCCTAAATGGCCTCGGCCCAGTATACCTGAAGGAGCGTCTCCACCCCCATCATTCTGCCCAGACGCTGAGATCCAGCGCCGAGGGCCTTCTGGCGGTTCCCTCATGGCGAGAAGCAAAGCTACAGGGAACCAGGCAGAGGGCCTTCTCGGTAGTGGCGCCCGCCCTCCCATCAGATGTCAAAGCGATAAACAACTACCTGACATTCAGAAGACATCTTAAGGCAGCCCTGTTCAGGGAAGTTTTTAATATGTGATTTTAGTGTATTTTTGGTTTCTGTGGAAGCCGCCCAGAGTAGCTGGGGAAACCCAGCCAGATGGGCGGGGTACAAATAATAAATTATTGTTGTTGTTGTTGTTGTATTTAATTGTTTACTGCAAACTATTGTTTATCGTATTGTTTACATTGTTTTCTGTGAGACAGAGCGAATTCACATGAGCATGTATTGTACATGATCACTACGCCTTAACACATAAAGCTTGGTTCTGCGAAACGGACCTCAAGCTTGCAAATTGATTGAGCTTGTCTGACAGCTGTTACCTCTGTTGTGTGTGTGCACACCCATGTACTTACACTTTTATATTATCTAGCAGTAATGCATTTCTGCATTGCATATGAAAATCGGTCAATTGGTGGTTTATGTAGGAGAATAATTCTTTATGTATTGGCTATTGTGAACATTCTGTTTCGTTGTGCAATATTCACAACTATAGGTGGCTCATATACGGGCAGAAAGAGATATACTGGTTGAAGCAGATGGTGCCTGGGTGGTGAAGATGTTTTATAGTTTTCAAGACAAACGGAATCTCTACCTGATCATGGAGTTTCTACCTGGAGGTAAATAAATGGTCCATGCTTCATACCTGAAACCAGTGTCACTTGCTGGATTGAGAGCTGGGTGGAATCTAGACACACATAAAAACCGCTCTGAAATTTTTAAATTTTTTTTAACAGCACTTTTTAAAATACAGTGGACCTTTGGGTTACGTTACCTTCAGGTAACGTAACTTTTGGGTTGCAAATGCAGCAAACCCGGAAGTGTATTCTTCCGGGTTTTGCCGCATGCACAGAAGTGGCGCCTCTACTTGCGGATTTTTCGGGGTATGTACGGACCCCTGGAATGAATTACATTCATATCCAGAGGGTCTACTAGATTGAATTTTCCATAAGACTCACCATCGCCATCTAGTGTCACATTGTATATTGCACTTAAAACTCACTTAAAACGTTTTATTTGCAGCTATATAGCTGAGTCCCTGGAATGAGGAAAGTGTATAGCTATTCCCAATCATTTAAGCACATTTAAAGGATGAGGAATGTTTTGTTCAAACTGGCTTTTATTCTGTGACGTAATGTAACAATACAAACACAGTTATTAATTGTTTTAAAAAATCAAGAGAAGGCTTAAGTGTATATGCAAGTGACTACATAAAATGTTTGGAGTCCCCCCAATATTTCATGAAAGAGCCTTCATCACTCGGCTCTGAACTGCTGAGTTTCGAAAATACTTATTGGAACTGATTGAGCTTGTGCCTTTGTAAATATTTGGACTACCAAAGCCTATTTGTAAAATCCTATAATATATATTTCTCCTTGATTCAGGAGATATGATGACATTATTAATGAAGAAGGATACTTTATCGGAGGAAGAAACACAGTTTTACATATCTGAAACTGTGCTGGCCATTGATGCAATTCACCAGCTGGGTTTTATTCACAGAGATATTAAGCCAGATAATCTTCTCCTGGATGCAAAGGTATAAGATGATTTTACATCTCCTGTACTTTTCTGTCTTTGTTCTGACATTGGGTATTTGCAGCATGCAAAGGCTGAAGGGAATGGTAGAAAGCCATTCTTCTTGTCCTTCACGATACGTTTATGCCATGGATGGGGAATACTTTTCAGCTCAATGGATGTGTCCCTTCTAAGCAACCTCAAAAGGGAAGGGGAGTTATTGTTTTACTTATTTACTTGTGTTTTTATCTTGTATTTTATTCTGTAAACCTCCCTGAGATCCTATTATGAAAGGTGGTATATAAATTTAATAAACAACAACTTTCCAAGGCCCAAATGCCAGGGATGGGTGAGGCCAGAGGCAGAAGCAGGCAGAGCAGCAAGTGTAAATTTTACCTTTGTACAATAAGCTAGTTTCTTCACACACTAGCGTACCCTCTCTATCCTCCATCCAGACATGCAAGAGACACCAGAGTTCAAGGACACACTCCAGCCTGGCAAAAACACACTCTTATGCGAAGCAGGACCAGTAAGGGGTGTCAGCTGGGGAGAGTTCAGTTGGCCAGATAGAGGCCTGAAGGTCTGCATTCAGACTCCAGTTTGCAGGATACCTGCTCCTGGTACATGCAAAGGTGTCAGAGGAAAGGAGTTGGAAAACAGGCTCCTCTCAACCGGAACAATGCAATGCTGTTGACTGAAAGTCATTTTTTCTTTTCAAAATATGTGCCTTTTCCTTTGTTGAAATTCACTTCTAGTTTTGGGCATTTTAAGTATGGACTTGCAAGGACTTGCAAGCTTTCAAAGGATTTTCGGTAGTCCAGCACCTAAACTCTCGTAATGTTTTCTTTCCATAGGGGCATGTAAAACTCTCTGATTTTGGACTCTGCACAGGTTTAAAGAAAGCTCACAGAACTGAATTCTACAGAAATCTTACACACAATCCACCAAGTGACTTCTGTAAGTACAGCCTGTTGTATCTTACAAGTATTAAACTACTCTGCACTCCCTCAGAGGCATTGATAGGTACATCGTACAGGTTAGGCATTATATAAGTGCATTATTCCTTTTGCCAGAACTCCTTTTTGAATGAGAACAGTGCCAAGTTCATACTTCTTTGCTGTGGTTGGGGTTCTAAAGAAACCTTTGGTCACTTGCTCCAGCAGCTGCCATTTTTGCCTGGCCAGGTGATATTAGCTGCTGCTGGAGAAAATGAACAATGGTGGCTTGGGAAAATAGAGCTGCAGAGAGTAAGTGGTGTGAGTTGGCAGTAGCATTGTTTTAGTAGTCGTCCTCCTTTCCAAGACTGGGGGGACAGTAAACCAGGTGTTGCCGAAAGGTTCTCTTGTTGCCCTGATAACTATTCAAAACTTTGGTAGATAATGTCAGCATCCTTCGGGGTCGAGATGCCTGCTGGCTAGCCCCCAGCTGGATCATGCCCTTCCAGCTGTGACGATCCCCCGATCTCTGGTGCGACGTAAATCAGCTACTCAGACTTCAAAAGCCTGAGCAGGCTATATTAGCAAAGCATACAGTGGTACCTCAGGTTACATACGCTTCAGGTTACAGACTCTGCTAACCCAGAAATAGTACCTCGGGTTACAAACTTTGCTTCAGGATGAGAACAGAAATTGTGCTCCGGTGGCACGGCGGCAGCAGGAGGCCCCATTAGCTAAAGTGGTGCTTCAGGTTAAGAACAGTTTCAGGTTAAGAATGGACCTCTGGAATGAATTAAGTTCTTAACCCGAGGTACCACTGTACTGCGCAAACAGAACAGGCGTGAGGCTTGTGGAAACATACTAAGAGCTAAAGATTTATTAAGCATAAATCAGGACAAAGAAAACATGTTGTCTCCCTTTCTTCTCCTCAGAGAGAGAGAAAAGCAAAAGCTATACACAAATGGAAGTTCCCAGCAGACTGTGCTGGATGTAAACAGACATGTGACACGCAACAATCCCATGTCTGCTCTTTAAGGTGGAATGGAATTTTCCAACAGATAAGAGCCTCTCCCCTCTCCAAATTAGATATATATATTTGAAACAAGGCCATGTAAATTCAGCCTGGTCTACACATGGCAGCAAAATGTGATAGAATAGACTACCATTTTTCAAAGTTCCTTTTTTTAGTTCTGTAAGTTAAAACACACGGAGATAAACTAGCATATGTTCATACTCAACCTTCTCCTAACTCTCACTACTATGTGCCTACTTTTTGTTTGCAGGTGTTGTTGTTGTTTAAAAAAACACATACACATTGGCAAGCATTAAAAAATGGCACCCCCACCTGCAGTTTGAAGTGGTATGGCCTATTCAGGTGCCTAATTTTACCAGTGCAGTTTCAGTATTAAACTATGCTAACGTAGCTCCCATTGTACAGAGGTAACATTGGGATTGTGCCCTATCTGAATTTTTCTTGTGCTGGTAAAATTGAATGCAATAATTTATATTTTTGCAAATTAGCATTTCAGAACATGAACTCGAAGAGAAAAGCAGAAACGTGGAAAAAGAATAGGCGACAGCTGGTAAGTACAGTTTTTGGTGAGCTTTGAGTGCTTTCTGCAAAGTTTTTCAGCATGATGGCCTTCTGCTGAAAAATTCATGCTTCAGCAACCTCTACTTGTCACCCAATCTCCTCAAGCAACTAAAAGGCTGTTATTAGATGACAGGTGAATGCTTATACATTATTATAACTCAAGTTAATAAGACTGCCAGAGTATTGACTAAAACTTTTTCTTAAAATCATCTTGCTTTTAGGCATACTCTACTGTTGGGACCCCAGATTATATTGCTCCAGAAGTTTTCATGCAAACGGGTTACAACAAATTATGTGACTGGTGGTCTTTGGGAGTGATTATGTATGAAATGCTAATAGGTAAGAATTATTGACCCCGTTCATCTTTTTGTCCCTTTTCCAATGAGAATAACACTTTCTCTGAGCGTTTTGTTGAGAGAGCCAAGGATTGACTTGCAGGTTTATATTCAGTCCTGCGTCTTCTTTCCTGTAATTTAGTCTAAATCTGACATTCAAATCAGTACAACATTTTTAATGATTTCCCCTCCCCCCCATTTCTTCAGGTTATCCCCCTTTCTGCTCTGAAACACCTCAAGAAACGTATAGGAAAGTTATGAATTGGAAAGAGACTCTAGTATTTCCACCTGAGGTGCCCATTTCAGAAAAAGCCAAGGACTTAATTCTAAAGTGAGTTGATGCTTCTGTTTTCTTCCACTACCCTTTTCCTGCTTGTGGAACAAACACAATGATGCACAGCTTTGTTAGCACTGAGCATGCAATGTAGAGCCCTTTGGTCATTGCCTTACCACTGTGGGAGCCTCTGCCATGTACATAGGTGCTCTCCAGAACAGTATTGCTCTTCTCACAAACGTGGATGATAGAGTGGGAGGTAAGTGATTTGGAAGCCTTCTCCCCTGAATTCAGGCTTCCAGTGTTAAGTCAGTGGGGCATGAAGCTCCCACAACACTGGCATTATGTCAGAAAGCACCCCTAATAAAGCCCAATAAAATCTGCTTTGTTAATCCATGTTTTGAAGTAAGTGAAGTCCAAAAAATTGTAAGCTGTTGAAGTTATTGTGGAAAATCACTCCTGAAATTAGGAGCAGAAGCAAGATTCTGCAGGAAAGATCCTTACAATAAGTTAAGGCAAAACCTTTAATTGGCGGTGTCCAGTTGCGTAATGTGGGCAAGATAGTAGGACTAGCTGATCCAGTTTAGCAATGTAGATGTCAGTGTTTTAAGCATTTTTACCCTGCTCTTCAGCCAATAAAGGCTCAGCTTGCATAAGATTAAGAACGAACGAGAAGCAAGACAGTCCCTGCCTGCAGGCTTGCAATCTAAAAGTCATGACTCAAAAGGAAAAAGCATTGGAAAAGGAAGAGGAAAACAAGTGAACTCAGACACGACTTCTTAGAGTTTTTTTCAGTGCTTGAGTGGAAGCAGTTCAGAGAGAGGAGGATGCCAACGAAGCAGATCTCAGCAGAGCCTTGTTGTTCCATTTCTCCCTCTGCTGCAGCCAGATATAGCCTAAATATTTTGAGCCCGCATGCTGCTGAGTAACTTCTTGGTTCTGTTTATTAAAAAATGGTCATCCTTGTTCTTCTTTAGCAAAAACAGCTCTTCAGTTCTTGCACATTAATAGAGTTGAAGATACAGGAGGGGTTTAAAGGTGATTTCAGTGCAGGAAGGAATGCAAAACTTAATACTCCAAACTTAATACTTCATGGACCTTTGTTTATGCTTGTATTTTTACATTTGACATATAGTTGTGTCATATCCACATATCTTACCTCACTATTGTGTTTCAGCTGAGGAGGTAATGCACTTTCCCTGCATTCAACTTGTAATATTTTTACCCAGGAACAGTGCTATTCTTCCCCCACACCACATACACTGCCTCTCTGAGAGTGCATTGACTTCTCTTAGGATTGGAGGCTGTGTACTCCAGCTTTATGGAGCACCACTGCAAGCTGAAACTGACTTAGCACGAAGGCAAAATCTGGAGTTGTGTTGGTGGGTAAGTAGTAGGTAGGTGGGTGGGATGTAGCTGTAGTATTAGTAGTAGCAGTGCTCTACTGCCCTGCTGCTGCTGTTGCCCACCATTTTTTTTGTTTTGTTTTTGGGGTGCTAGTTTAATACTATTTTCAGCCCTGAGTAGACTGTCACTCCCTGGGATTTATTGTATGTATGAATGCATGACTGATTTACAGTGGATCTTCCTGGCAGTAACTGTAGTACAGTTGGTTGTTTATTCCTATATGCAACTGTATGGCTGATTTTAGTTGGAATGGCTTTCACCAGGCTTACAGCAAAATGTGGTGTTGTAGTGAAGCTGGTCCAGCCTGCCTCTCATTTTTCCCAGCAACAGGAGTTGTAAGGGAGAGGCAGTGGGGCTATTTGTGTTCTAGCACACACTCAGTTGGGGGGGAGGGGGACAGCACTTCTGTCAGGGTCTAGCACAGCCTGATGAAAAACATCTTCCTGCTCATGACTGTGCTTGGTATGTAATGCTGCTCTTCACTGTTTCACTGTTCTAGAGTTGTCTTCACAGCCCATTTCTCTTGGCTCCTAGGAATTGTATTTGGCACTTTCCTTTGTCAGTCCAAGGGGGTCCCTCTAGCCCCGGGTGGGGGGCAAAATATTGGATCCCCACTCTCTGGAGCTGGCCATTTTTAGAATTGTTTTCTGCCCACTTTTAATTAGAAGAGGATTGTTTTTAGTCCATTGTTGCATTGAATAGTCAATATTAATGGGACTGACTTGCCAGACTGTTTGTTTGTTTGTTTGCTTACCTATCTGAACTTGCTGCATGCTGGTATGTAAGGTAGTTTGCTTCAATGCTAGAAATTTACAAGGTATTTTTGTTGCTTAGTCGACTTAGTCGTGTTCGACTCTCCATGACCCCATGAACCAGAGCATGCCTTGGAAACTCTCACTTTCTTCTCAAAGCTTCTCCTTTTTTTATGTCTGGAGTTTTCTTGGCAAAATACTGGAGTAGTTTGCCAGTTCCTTCTCCAGGTGAATCACATTTAGTCTAAACTCTCGGCTATGACCTGTCCGTCTATGACCTGTCATAGCTTCTCTGAGTTATTCAAGCCCCTTCGCCACGACAAGGCAGGGATCCATGAAGGAGAGTCCATATTTTAAGATTATACAAATGGGCTTCTGCATCAAGCTGTGACTGTGGGGAGCCACTTGCCTGAGATAAGAGAAGACTCAAATGGGGAATGACAAAGACACACACCCCTACCCCCCCCATTGGTATCAGAGGAGAAAATTAGCTACGGAGATAAATTTTGCCCCTTTCCTGGTTCAGAAGGAATTGAAGGACTCCTTTCAGGCAGGTTAAGGGGCGAGACACAGGCGGCATTGTTGCAGACTCCAGTGGAGGCAACACAGAAGCGGCTTACTTTCTATCAAAATGGACTAATTGGAAATGAAATAAAAGGTGCCCTGCCAGAAATGGTGAGTTGGTAGATGCAGGGGAAAGTCTGTTCGTCTAACTATTGGAAGGAAGAGAGAATGAAATTGCTGCCATGTGAAAGAAGGGGAGGAGTGGACTGTGCATCAAAGTTATGAAGTCATTGAGAAATTCCTACCTTCCCTGTTGTCAGCTGAATAAAGAGCAACAAAATTAAAATGGAATAAGGAGTAACAAAACCAAAGAACATCTGAATATAATGTGACTTTATACTGTAAAATTGGAAGTACTTTGCTAGTAACAGTACAACGGGAGAGTTCCAGTGGAAGAGGAATGTGAACATAAACCTGTTGTGTCCCGTTGAATGAGAACTGCAAAATGGAATCTGACCTGGAAGGACTGGTGGGTTTGAACTACCAAAACTAAAAACCTCCAGAACCAAGCAGTTTTATAGAGAAGAATGTTGGTGATGATCAAAATGTAAGAACCACTGGGAGCAGTGATGCTAACTTAGAAAGTAACTAACAAAGAAGATTCCCAAAACGCTAACAACAGCTGAGACAAAGGTTCCAAAGAGGATGAAATAACTGCCCCCAGGTGCTTATAGGTGCAGCAATGGAACGAAAGGTGGGGAGAGAATGTGAATTAAAGATGGATTTTAAAAGTAAAAGAATATGAGGACAGCAACGTAAGGGATGAAGACAAGCAATTTTTGTAAGAGTTCAGTTCTTTTTTGGACTATCTGGAGAAACATTATAGATAAATGAAACCGTGAGCAGGATTTGAGGTTCAAGCAACGAAAGAAAGATGATAATAATTTTATCAAAGTTTTGTAATACATTATTTGTATAATGCAGCAGTAAAGGGAAGGAAGTAAAAACACCATGGAGGTAAGGATGGGTAGTCACTCTCTAAGGATATATTAAATTGGAAATTAATTTGTAATTTTTATAGTTAATTTGAGTTTGGTTAACTTTGTTAATCTGTTGATTTTTATTTTTATTTTGAAAATTTAGTAAAAATTAGAGATTATGAAAATGGAGTGTCTGATTAGTAGCTTACTAAAAGCAGGCACATCTCCTAAGGTGCACAGGAATCTCCAGGAACAGATAGAAACCAGCCTCCTGCAAGGCTGCCTTGGGCACAGTCTGCGCATTGTCCTCGTAGTTCAGCACAGTCTGCTTTTGAGATCCTTTAAATAATCTCATTCAGGGACTGAAAAGGGGATCTCAAGATGTACAAAGCCTGTGATCTACCATTTGGCTATAGTCAGTGATCGTGCAGTTCCTTTATAATTATCCCCATAGCCTGTTCAAATTGCACCTCAGAACTTCCTAACTCTGCCACTCCGGCAATGTAGCTGATCACCACAAGGATTTTTTCCAGGCCTTACTTTCCCCGCGCCCTTGTATTAAAAAAAACCAAAAAGCCACTATGAATTCCCATAACCCTGAATCAGCCCTGGGTGTGTTACGAGGTAAAGGCACAATTATCTAGTTGGTTTAAGGAATTTGGTGTATGTCAGTATCTAAAGAAATTTAAGCTTTAAGACTTTTTAAAATTTGCCGTGCAATTAAATTGAAATAAGAGGAACAGAACCATTGAGTATTGGGATGAAATGCTCCAAAATGCTTGTATGTTTTTATTTTACTTATATAAATTATTTATATTTTAAATATTTATCAGCAGTTCTTCAGTCATTGCTTTTGGAGCATCTTACAGAATAAAGCTAAAATGGCAAAAAGTGGGAAGGCAGTTAAAAGAATCTAGTGTAAAATAATCACAAAACTAAAAAGTTGTAATAGTTTGAGCTATGATCTTGGAAATTTTTAGTTCAATGACATTTCTGCAACCCACAATGTAACCTTAGGAAAACCAGTTACTTGTTTGCATAGCATTCTTCCTGTACCCCTTCAGTTTTATACGTTAATAAAATGTTAAATGTTATATGTTAAAATAGAATGGTAGCAGTGATAAAATCTACATTCTTATTTGTTAAAAGCACAGGTAAATAAGATTTTAAACTTGGTATATCATCTCTCTGCCTTAGTTCTGTGCTGGGAATATAGAGATAACGCTGACTTAACTTACAGGGTTGCTATATGGGTCAATAGCTTTTGTGTTTTGAAAAAAATGGAAATGTACACTATAATCCTAAATGTTGGCATTAGGTTGTGATTCTTACTAGCCCATTATCAGATTTATTTGTTGGATTTTAGCCAATAGAAAGTTGTCTATGTTCTGTTTTGGTTACTCTTTTTCCCATAGGGATAGCAAGAGGGGTGTTGTGCCCATCTCTTGTTGTTTGTCTATGCAGCCCAAAGTCCTCTGGTAAATGAAGCCACGGGGAAGAAGTGGTTCTTGTCTCATCTGCACATTTTTGTATGAAGAAAAAAAGGAACTATGGGAATGTCTTGCAAGCAGCAGAAGTTTCATCAGTTTTCTTAGAATTAGTAAGGGAACCTAAAACTC